AATATTATCGTGTATTACAATCATTGTTCGCTAGAGAGTCCGCTGGTTTCTATCGGATTTATTCTGAATTATGTAAATACTGGAGAAAAATATTTATATTCTCTAATGTAGTTTCATTGAAATAATACATATATTAATACTTATTTATCGAGTATATTTTGTGCAAAAATATAAAATCAGATCACATAATAACTTGTTTCATTAATATATAAGTATCGGCTATCAAAAAGCGAAATAAGAGGCCTTATTTTTTAGCGCAAATCAGAAAAAAAGAAAACCTGAAACAGAAGGGTTAAAGCTCAAAGCAACAATATATCTAAGCTGCTTTAAAATTTGTGTTACTTTATAACGAAAGACTTAGAATTTACAATAGTATTTATAAAAATATTCTTGCAAAGTATAAAATAAACTTGATATATTTTGAACGAAGTTTATTTATTAGTACTATTATCAGTTCTAATAGAAGTTCTAGTCTACTGCTGAACGCATATTATGAAATACGAATAGGTCAGAATGTCTTCAAACATACTGCACGTCATACGAGGTATTGGGCATGAAATTAGACATTCTTCATCCACGGTAAGTGACATATAAATAGGGCTATTAAATGCGTTTGAAATTGAATTTGAGTTTTTGAAAATTGTATTGATTTTTTCAACAGCAAGAGAGTCGACAAGTAGCGGGTATGTTGCGGAAAATTAGTGAATAACGGAACTCATACGTGTGAGTAACTCTTGTTAAAAGTTTTTAATTTTTATCATACTTCTCCAGAGTCATTTCCAGTAAAATTGAAACTTTACTCAGATACACTCGCGTTTACTGGTTTAAATACTATAATTTTTTTTTTAATTAAAGGAATATAAGTGACTTTATGAGTGATACGCCATTTCTTAATTTATAAAACACCTTTAACTTTTAGTTTTACTTTTAAAGCTTTAGGCTTCACTCTTTCAGTATAAACGTCACATAATTTATTTTTCGTGTGAATGATGCAATTATTTTATATCATTACAGAAGATATCTATACGATGTTGCAGAGAAATATACCAAATATTTCCAGACAGTAGTATTTTATGGTAATGAAAACAATTGAAGTTTGTTCACATTACATTATAATTTATATCACAAGATCGTCTCACCAATGTGCTTACGACTTGTATTACTAAAAAAACCCACAGAGGTCCAGTTAAGAATGATAAGATGTTCTCAAAGTTATATTGTGCAAAACTGTTCAAAAAATAAAAAATATCAAAAGTTACTTATCACGGAAAATCCAAGATTTTATTAAAATAAAACTAGTAATAAAAGTAACTTATTAATTTTATATTACTGACAGTCACTAAAGCAATTCTCTTCTTTAATTTTAGAAGAACTCTTAATGTTTATGGGCCTAATAATTTTACTTAATATCAGAGCTTGCCAGGCTCACTGTTATCTTAATGGGTAATAAATGTGATATTTCATCACTGTAAAACTGGTAAGTTTATTTGCATTATTCTAGATGGTCCATTAAGGTTTCCTAGTAAACACAGAAATAAAAGAATTGTATTTTAAGTTAAAACAACACTTCTTGTACACATGGAGGATTGCTGCTAAATCAGTTTCTGGTCTCCACTCTACTTTTGTCATAAAACTAAACTTACCAAACCCAAATTCAAAATAAATGGAGTGTAGTGTTTTTATGTGGTGTTGAAAATCTCTGCTAATAGTTCAGAATATCCTCTTTGAACTAAAGTATGTACATGAAGCATACCACACTGTAATATAACATAAGGACATTGAAGGATGTATTTCTGGTCCTTTGAGGCAGTTCCAGCACAGCCAGACTATTTATTTTTCAGGAAATCATCAATTACCATCTTAAACTCTTGTAAAATGCCAGTATTCACTACTTCTGACCACAACTTATTCCTCAAACTAATCACCCTAAAAATAAAACTATCTTAACTAGATCTTTGTCCAGAAAACAAATTAAGAGATCTTAACCTACCTCCAAAAGAAAGCCTGTCCATCTTGGGATTATCCTAAGGTTGCCACGTGTTCTATATTTTACTAACTGTTTCTTTTCTTATTTAATTGTAAGATGCAATGATCTGTTTCAGGTCAGATCAGAATAGAAGTCGTTTCTTATTTTGCCTAAGGTGTATCATAGTTTTTATTATTATTGAATTAATAATAAATAATAATGAGAAATCATAATGGCAATATTTTGATAATTTGGATAGTTGGAATAATCACAAACATTAATAATTGGTAACAGTAATTTTGATTAGTTGATTATCTTCATGACATTAATCAATTAAATTGTAATTTTGATTAATTGATTATTTTACATGATACTGATTGATGTGATGAATGCTCATAGGTTATGAATTATACTGATTAATCCAGTTAATCACCCAACTGTAATAGTGAATCCATGTTCACCTTCACAACATATTTTTTAAATGTTTTTGAAAAGCTTTTATGAGACCTGCCTTCCACTATAAAAATACAGTGTAAGACCAACTAGCGTATAATCCACAGGGCAACTCTTATACCTCCCCCCCCCCTAGAAATAGAGTAACTCAACAATAACTCATCAATCCCTCAGGGCAACTCTTAAGCCCCACCCCTTTTTTAGAAATAAAGTAACATTATTAACTCTTCAATGCTCAGACACCTGCCCACTGTCTATTAACCTATCAAAAATGAAAAGGACTCTCATATTAAATTCTTGACCTCGTTTAAAACCCCGAGGCAAACATTATACCATCTTGGTTTTAATCTCAGAATCTTTCTACTTGTCATCAAAGGATTAATATCTGTATGACTCTGATTAATTCCAATATTTTCTATGGAATTCTAAGGGCCAGGAATATTGCTAATGTATAGTCTTGTAAGAACAGACGATAAAGATCTTTAAAAGCTCAACCATCTCATAGTTTTTCAACAGGGCTTGAGTTGTGTAGTTATCAAGTGGAGCTCAGTTTTACAGCTCCTATGAGGCGGGTGGTCTGGGAGCCACCAAAGTCTCTTATTTCAATTATTTGATGATGTTACAATGTATGTTGACACAGAAAAGTAACTCAAATGTTGAAGAATGACATATCACAAAGTAAGCCTACAATGAAGTAGGCCTGCATCTTTAAACTTTGTATGTCCTTGGACATTCTACAACAGGAATGTTTTCATAAACATTTCTAACAGGAGTGTTTTCACAGCAATTTCTTACAACAGGAACAGTGCTCCAGTTTGCTCCCCATCAACTGAAGCCCTAGTTTTCAATAAAAACTGACATCAGCATCCTTTTTGGATCTTGTCACCATTTTAGTATTTTGCTAATCTTTAAACACTAAAGACAATTCTTGTTATTTGCTGTAACATTACCAGCCATCTGTTTCTTATGAACTGCTTTTGAATTATTTATTTTTTAACCAAATCCCTTAGCTTTTCTATAGCTCTGTAAATCTTCCACTGTATCTGTCTGTCTGTTTAGCCTTCATAAACTTTAAGTATTTCTTCCTGATTTTCTCCTTCATGTCCTTAGTAAGCCAATTAGGTTTGATCTTCTCTATTATCCTCTTTTTTACTTAGGAATATGCCTATCTGGAATTAAAAACATTTTATACCAGTTCACTAATTATAAAAAACTGGTCTCATGGCATCAGAATTGGCTTTCTGGAAATTAGGAGCTAAAAGTTCTTTTTTCTTTAAACTCATCATGTAACAAAGCCTAATTATACTCTTATTACTCTTCAGTAAATGTTCCCCATTTAAAATCTTGTAACTGCATTCTTTCTACTTGGTTTGTTGACCAATTTGGTGTAGAAAACCACTGTGTTACTTACTTCTTTTCCCTCCCTGCTTGACTCTTATGATTATTATATCAGTATCCTTAATAGCAACATCCCTGAACTCTATATACATTTTCTCATTGATATCAATTGTGTGGTCAGGTGGCCTATAACAATTGCAATTAAAAAATCTGTATCATTAAAATCCCTGACTGTAACCCTTCTAGATTACCATTAAAATCCCAGATTATAACCCTTCTAGATTGTAACCTCTTGACTCTCCATTTTTGTCTTCAATCTGTAGCTAATCCATAATATAAAGAGCCACAACTTCTTTTAAAAAGCCTATCACTGTTAAATATTTTATACCCTAGAATTTTTAAATAATTTCTTTCATCATTGCTCTCCAATTTTAATAGATTCAGTAATTACCATTATATCATTTTTCAATTTGTATTTGAGGAGTGACTTATCCATTTTGTTCCTAATGCTCCTCACATTAGAATAATAGCAGCTATGCTTATCCTTAAATTGAACAGGTTTAACTTATTTTGCTCTAAATTCTTTGAATTTTGTTTTTACCCTAGTTTTCTTATTAATTTGTTTATTCCCAGTTTACTTAAACATTCACTCCTAAGTTTATAATTAATCATTAATGCAGTACTAGATCAATTTTTTTTTAATCAAGTAAATAGGATCAGAATGAATCAGCCTAATACTTTATCAAAAAAAAGAATCTGTGTAAAAATTGTAGTCAGCATAAAAAGAAATAGCAACGTCCATAAATTGGGTATAAACTTTTTAACTAGTGTATACATGTGTCACCTAAAATCTCAAACCTTGCAAGTCTTTTTTTATTTTTCTAGTTATACTGTAAGCACGTTTGGAACTTGAAAACTAATTCAGTGCAGAAATATATAAATATATTTTGTTAAATATATACATTATTTAAATGAAGAGGAAATAGCAAGCATACAGTTGCTTCATTTTTTCTTTAAAAAACAATAAGTAATATATTTATCAGAAATGGAAGGTCCATAAGAACATAAAGTCAGTTAAATTCGATGACGAGGAACCCACTTTGAGACTAATAATGGTTGGAGACGGCTTGAATGGGTAATGAAGAAAAGCTTTAATATAAGTTTAACATAACAGCAAATGTACAATGTTTCGACAAGGTTTTGTCATCATCAGGTAATGATAATTGTGAATGATCCCTAAGATGTCAGTAATTACCTATAATAAAATACAATTAAAGAGATTAAGTTCAGTGAAAATTTAATTATTAGAATAATCATCAATGTGCACTAGTGTGTGTGTGTGTATATCAATTTTCATTTCTCCAATTTTGTGAAACAATGCAGAAATTACTTGTATTAATCTCATGGTGTGATGAATAAGATTTCACAATATTTATAAATTTAAAATTATCGTTCATACAAGTGATTTTATGCTATGATTTATTTTTAGATTTGGTTTGATAATAATGCTTCCAAGTTTTAAACCTACAGATCACATGAAACTGTCATTTTTTGCCAGAAAGAAATTAATTTACCCTTGTAAATGAATATCTTATCATATTAATATATTTCCAAACAGTAGAAAAAGTACCATCTTTTATGTTGCTCTAGTAAATTTAATAATAAAGCTGAAGTATTGAAACAGTTTAAAGTTTTCAAGTTTTAAAAGTTATTTGGGCCGAACTTGACCCAGTGGTTAGCATACTTGACTATGACTCTGAAGATTGTTTGTTTGTTTGTTTTTGAATTTCGCGCAAAGCTACACGAGGGCTATCTGCGCTAG